GGTACTGAGCACATGTGCAGGGAACAGGTCAGCCAGGTGTGAGTGCCCTGCTCAGCTATTGGCCCTGGGGCCAGTCCCTAGCTCGTGCTTTAGACCCTGGCTCTGCTTCAGCCGCGTGGTAGCTGTTGTGCTCCCGGCTCAGTACAAGGAAGAAGCAGAGTCACTCGAACACACAAGGCAACTTGGCGATGGGGAAGTTGCCACCGGCATCCCCCAGCCCGACTCCAAGTCTGAGACGCATCTCCATGCTTGGGAGCAACGGAGTTTGAGGAAGGAGGCCAGCCTCTGCGCTGGCCAGCCAAAGGGATGTGCAGCCCTCATGCCTCAGTGATGCTGTAACTTCCTGCTCTGGCTGGGAGGAGCTGAATCCCACCCCCTTCCCAGGACAGAGAGCAGAGCGGAAACGGGCTGAGGCGCTGGGCCAGCGCCCTCGCCCCGTGGCAGAGCCACGCCAGAGGCAGCACTGCTAGGGCCAGGGCCAGGGCCAGGGCTGGGCTGGTCCTGCTCACCCCTGGTTGAGGTCGTTCTCGGTGTTGTCCAGCCAGAGGCGCACGGCCACAGCGTTGCCCTCTCGGCACTGCGTGAAGATGTCATCCATCGTGGCTCTGTGGAGAGGAACGTGTTGGATGATGTAGGGCCTGGCTGTGGAAGAAGGCACATGCAAACCAGGGCTCCCTACCTCTGTCCCCCTTCCCCGCACCTGGCCCCAGGACCTGGACAGCCTCCCACAGGCCCTTTGCTTCTGGCAGTTCCTCAGCTGAAGCATCTCTCTGGGGAGACCCGGGACAAGAGCCTCACATCTCCTTTCCTTGGCAGCACTCGGGAAAGTCTGCTGGCGACTGATGAAGGTTGGGGACAGGGCTGGACTCACGCAGCCAGAAATGGAAGTTCATGACTGACTAAAAATATCATGGATGCCTGCCTCAGCTCGCAGGAAGTGGGTTCAGTATCCACAACCTTATCTGTGGGCCCAGCCAGCCCCAAGCATCCCACTTCTCCTGGGATGGGAGTAAGCTTGAGGGGTAGAGTTAGAGAAGGTCCAGCACCACCCTGCATGGGACTCGATGGCTTCACAGCCTCCCCTGTGGCCCAGGCTGGGCTGAACTTGGCATAGGATCAAACTAAAGAAACTGGGACCCCACAGATCCACAAGCTTCCCCTCTCTCAGCTCTAACCACTAGACACCCATCCTCAAGCTAGGCAAAGAGCCCGCATGTTCTGGCTTCACTTTCAATCCCTTAACAACACTGTCCTCACTGAGACTTGCAGCTCCCCAGCTCTGTGGGGCTGTGCCTGGCAGGTACCCTGCTGCCTGGGGGTCTGGGGTATCAAGCAGGGACACTGGGCTGCTCTCAGTGAATCCCACAGTGCTGGCTGTAGGGTCAAACCCAGCACAACGTCCAGGGCTCTGCCCCAGAGGTAACCCATGAGCACTTAAACCTGGTATTCTCGGGGTTCTCCGCAGGGCTTGACACTTGCCCAACTGCAGCACTGCTGCCCCCAGACCCTCACCCAGTCTGCACAGCTGGGACAGACTCTGTCATGCTTCCTGACCCCTGCACAGGCAGCCAGCATCCAGGCAAAACAACCCCTCTGCACATACTGTGGGCCCCAGGCAGCCTGCTAAGCGGGGCATGGGCCATGGCCCAGACCCCAGAAAAGGCTGCACAGGTGTCAGAACAGGGTCTGAAATTTCCAGGACAGCCCTCAGCTGCAGGAGCAGTGCCAGCCTCACTCCTGGCTCAACCAGCGCAGAGCAGTGAGCCATGAGTGCTTTGCCCTGACGTCCCTCGGGTCCTGCCAGGCCCAGAGCCCAGGGCTGCCTCAAGCTGATGGCAGAGCCCCCAAGCTGGATTATACACCCACCCAGCTGGGGATCGGGCCCCAGTGACACCCTGTCCCTATCCCAGCCCTGTGGGATTTGCATCCTGCTGTCACTTCCACTTCTCCAAGAGCCACTTCCCCTCTGTGGTCCAGCAGAGCAAGACGTGGCTGACGTGCTCCTGTCTGTTGCCACACTGGCCCCTGTGTCAGCCCTGGCTGGGGCTGCCAGGCCTCCCCCGCCTCAGCCCTGCCAGAGCCAAGAGACTCTCCAGTGCTTCCCAGTGCCAAGCAGCCATGGTGGCCCTGCTGAGTCCCTCATGGCCCCTTTCCTAGTCATGCCCCACTGAAGCTGTTGCCCCACAGTGCACCCAGCCCCCCCCCGCCTCAGCCCTGCCAGAGCCAAGAGACTCTCCAGTGCTTCCCAGTGCCAAGCAGCCATGGTGGCCCTGCTGAGTCCCTCATGGCCCCTTTCCTAGTCATGCCCCACTGAAGCTGTTGCCCCACAGTGCAGAGACTGACACAGACCCACAGCAGTCCCTCCTGCTCCCCAGGCACTCCTGACCCAAGGCCTTTCCCTGGGCCCAGGACCAGCCA